CTCAACAGCTAAATGATTAAACAAAATGCGGTACATCCATACCATATACTACTATCAGCAATAAAAAACAGTAAACTATTAATACAACAAATTTGGGTGTGTCCCAAAAGCATTATGCTGAAATTGAAAAGCCAATCTCAAAAGGTTGCATACTTTGAGGTTCAGGTTATATAACATTCTCAAAATGACAAAATTATAGTGATGGAAAAGAGCCTGGTGGTTGCCAGGGGTTAGGGATGGCAGTAAGCAGGATTTCAGTCTAATTATAAAAAAGAATAGAAGACCTTAATCTTCTATTCCCCTAAATAGATATGTGTCTTAATTGCAGTGGAATCAGTGTTGAGAAATCTACACATGCAATTAAATGACACAGGTCTAGCCACACACATTGTACCAATGTCAATTTCCTGGTGGAGATTACATACTATAGTTATACAAAAATATAATCATTGGGGAAAACTGGGTGAAGCATAGGCAGAATCTCTCTGTACTGTTTTTGCAACTCCTATCACTCTATTATTTTAAAATAAAAAGTTAAAAATAAATTAGATAAATCCACCATCATAGTGGGTGACAATGTATGGCCATGTCCCAACCCAAATCTCATTTTGAATTGTAGTTCCTATAATTCCCACATGTCTTGGGAAGGACCCAGTGGGAGGTCTTGGGTGGGTCTTCCTCATGCTGTTCTTGTGATAGTGAATAAATCTCATGAGATCTGATGACTTTATAAAGGAGTGTTTCCCTGCACAAGCCCTCTGGCCCACCAACATGTAAGAAGTCCCTTTGTTCTTCCTTCATCTTCCACCATGATTGTGAGGTCTCCCCAGCCATATGGAACTATGAGTCCATTAAACCTACTTCCTTTATAAATTACCCAGTCTTGGATATGTCTATACTGGAAGCATGAGAATGTACCAACTTACTGATACCAGGAGTGGGATGCTGCTATAAAGATACTCGAAAATGTGGAAGCGACTTTGGAACTGGGTAACAGGCAGAAGCTGGAGTTGTTTGGAGGGCTCAGAAGAAGACAGGAAGATGTGGGAAAGTTTGGAACTTCCTACAGACTTGTTGAATGGCTTTGACCAGAATGCTGACAGTGATATGGAAAATGAAGTCCAGGCTGAGGTAGTCCCAGATGGAGATGAGGAACTTGTTGGGAACTAAAATAAAGGTGACTCTTGCTATATTTTAGCAAAGAGACTGGTGGCATTTTCCCCTGCCCTAGAGATCTGTGACTCTTTGAACTTGAGAGAGATGATTTAGGGTATCTGGTGGAAGAAATTTCTAAGCAATAAAGTGTCCAAGAATTGACTTGGGTGCTGTTAAAAGCATTCAGCTTTATGTATTCACAAAGATATGGTTTGGAATTGGAAGTCATGTTTAAAAGGGAAGCAGAGCATAAAAGTTCAGAAAATTTGCAGCCTGATGATGTGATAGAAAATAAAAACTCATTTTCTGAGGAGAAATTCCCTGCTGCAAAAATTTGCATAAATAATGAGGAACCAAATGTTAATCACCAAGACAATGGGGAAAATGTCTCCAGGGCATGTCAGAGGTCATCACAACAGCCCACCCCATCACAAGCCAGGAGGTCTAGGAGGGAAAAATGGTTTCGTGGGCTCGGCCCAGGGTCTTGCTGCTTTGTGCAGTCTTAGGACTTCATGCCCTACAACCCAGCCATGGGTTAAAAGTGGACATTGTGGAACTCAGGCTGTTGCTTCAGAGTATGCAAACTCCAAGCCTTGGTGGCTTACATGTGGTGTTGGGCCTGCAGGTGCATAAAGTCAAGAATTGAGGTTTGGAAACCTCTGCCTAGATTTCACAAGATGTACGGAAATGCCTGATGTCTAGGCAGAGGTGTGCTACAGGGGTGGAGCCCTCAAGGACAACCTTGGCGAGGGCAGTGTGGATGGGAAATGTGGGTACAAGTCCCCATACAGAGTCCCCACTGAGGCATTGCTTAGTGGAGCTATGAGAAGAGGACCACTGTCCTCCAGACCCCAGAATTGTAGATCTACTAATAGCTTTCACTGTGCATCTGGAAAAGCTGCAGACACTCAACATCAGCCCATGAAAACAGCTTTGTACCCTGCAAAGCCATGGAGGTGGAGCTGCCCAAGACCATGGGAGCCCACTTCTTGCATCAGCATGAACTGGATGTGAGACATGGAGTCAAAGGAGATTATTTTGGAGCTTTAAGTTTTGACTGGATCTTAAAAATCAACATGGATATTCTAGCTTTACTGATGGTAAGATTCAACTAGCACCTGAAAATGTCTACAAGAGTTCCCCAAAAGTGAAAGGACCACATCCAAAGCTTTCCTTACACAGAGGTATAGAAATAGTTTGTCAGGTGTATGTCTGATTACAGTGTAATGGAAAATGACAGGCTTTAAAAACTTGGCTCTAAGGCTGTAAAGACTTTTCAGGAAATCATCTATAATATGGTAAAAATAAACTAGGCTTAATTGAAATTTTACTCCGAGTTCTGATATTCCATTTTTTTACACAAAATCAACTCATTTAAAAACCAGATGGAATAATTTGGAAAAAAAGGGAAAAAAATGCAGAAAATCTAAGGAAATATGAATCATCAACCATATCAGAAAACTGAAGCTTTAGGTTAAGGTTTGGCACCCGTGTATCATTTTTATTCTCCAGTCATTTGTTACCAATCCTTGCTGAATCTTTAAGCCTTCTGAAGTCCCTCAAAGCTCTCATCAATACTTGAACATGGGTCAATATACCACTAGCAGTCACATCAAACAGGAAACAAAGACCACTAGCAAAGGACCAACTACAAATGATGTCAAGGAAAATTTGGAGAGCACAAAAAAATGCTTCATTTCTTGGCTATTTATTTTTCTGGATACCACATTGATTTTCATGGCAGTATCTTTTATTTGTTTTTATTTGTTGTTGGTGCTGTAATCCTAAGGAAATTTGAATTTCAGCATCTAAGCTCTATTTCAGGTAAACAAAGCAAAGGTGTAGCAAAGTATCTTTCAAGTTAGTATCTTCCCTCATAATCTGAGCTCCTTGAGCCATGTTATTCAATCCCTTGTATGTCTGTGCATCCATTAATATTTTAAAAAATACTTTGTATCTGTTGTCTTACCCCTAAAAATGGAGTTTAGAAAATATTGTATGCATTATTTTAACAAGTAAATGCTGATTATCTAATCTGCACATGTATTTTGCTAGATGCTGGATCGATTTTTCTTCAGAAAATGGAATAATGTAAGTAGTAGCGTCTGGCAAATGTTAGTTGAAATTTTCCCTACCATTTTATTCCACTGATCAAGCTTGCATTCATTCATTCATTCATGTGTCCATGTGCAGTAAACATATACAAAATCCTCTTTTTATGCTGGATTCCATAGAGGGACTTAACATCTCTATACTTTAATTTCCTTATCTGTAAAATGGGAATGATAATAATAATAGTATTTCATTAAGTTTTTGCCAGGAATGAGTTAATGTGTCTGACACCATGGGTCTGGCATATGCAAGGCCTATGCCTATATTGATTACTGTTTCAGCCTCAGAACTTTAGGAAGTATTACCTGAGGCACCCCATCAGGCACCCCATTATGGTAGCATAGCTTTTATTTGGAAGGTGTAAGCCCAAAACAGTGAGGGTCAGATTAAAAAAAAGAAGAGGAAGAAAAGTGAGGCAAAGAAAAAGTGATGTGAAATGATGTTTCTCCACTTTACAACAAGCTTCCACGAGACCAACAGGACACTCAGGAGATATGTTTGCCTGTCACATACAACTTCTCCAGAAAGACTGCAAAGAAGAATCACATCTTTGGGCAGTCTGTTAGAGAGAGGAAGCTGGAGAAATTAATCTGCCCAGGTCTCTTCCACCTTTCATTTTCCATTGAGCAATCCTCATCCCTTACATCTTTGCAAGTTGCAATACCTGACTACTCTGAGGCTTTTCAGAAAACCAGATCCCACACTCAGTGCTGTTGTGTTTCATCCTCACAGTTTTTTCTTACATGCTACTTGCTGTCAATAAAGCTATAGAATGAGGACCAAAAACAACACTAAGGTTGCCTTTGAATCAAACCTCATTTTCACAGCTCTCAGCATACTGCAGCAGATACAAAGCAGACCTTTGAAATTAGTCCAGCAATTTTGAGCTCTAGATCTGCTACTATGTAGCTGTGCAAATTTTTTGAGTTGTCTGAGTCTTGTTTTCTTCATCTATAAAAGGGAAATGTTAATATCTACCTCATAGAGCCGTTATAAAGGATGAATGAGCAGTAAAGTAATTAGAGCTGTGATTGGCACATAAATGTTCAATAAATGTTTACTACAACCATAATTATCATTGCATACAAATGAGAAGACAAGGAAAGCCCATTCAGACCACTGACTGTGAATCTACTAGGATCACACTGAAAGGAACACATTACAGCCTACAGCTACACTGGAAAAGTAAAACTGAGTAACAACTATGATGGATTGGAGTAACATAGAAAGCCTGAATTAATAATTCAGAATCCAAACTATATATTTCCCTCACTTGCCTGAATTATCCAAAAAGTTGCCACGTCCCCACTTCAATTTTCCTTATAGATGCTGCCATAAAGTCACATGCTTATGTGTTTCTTTGACAGTCATGCTTAGAAATGCGTCACTAGAATCAAAATGCATTGAGATCAGATGTTATCAAATCCTATTTTATTCTCCCCAGACAGAGTCATACAGAGCTTTAAGACCTGCAGCAGTGTTCACTGCAATATATTTATAACAACATTGCAGTGAGCAATGATATCACTACAGTCTTATTGATGGATGCCTGCCTGTGAGATGCTTAAATTTTTAAAACAGTCCTCTTGCAGATTGTTCTACACACTCCCTCCCCACTTGCTTGAGGCTTCAAATGGCTACTTTTTGATATTAAAACAAGCACGCTATACAAGAGACCTGTTTTACATCGTAACAAAACAAAAACTTAGGTTTTTAAACACTGTTTGACTTACCTTAGGCAGAGAAAGAAAAATAAAAAGCTTCCATTTATTTAACCTTCTTGCTTTTTAATAGATGTATGTTTTACTCCTCTTCACTCCTCTTTCTTTTGAACCTAGAAAAACTAGAATTAAAGGGGATACATTAGGAGAAAGAAAAAACTCAGACTAATTTTCTTGAGATTCCAATGAGTTACGACACCAACTGTCTTAGTTCAAGCCTAATATATTAATCTGTACTCCAATGATTTGACAAGCATATTTGGTGCAACTAAACTGGGTGAAGTTTAGGCACAGGTCTAAACACTCGTTCTCAATATTACTATCAATTATGCTTGTTAAAAATTTCAGATTTTCATGCATTGCATCCCATAGTGATATTTTTATTCAGGAAGTCTGGGGTGATAAGTAGGTATCTGCATTTTTAACAAGTACTCCAGGTGATGATCCTGCTACCAGTAATTCATGAACCACAGTTTGAGCAACTGATTAAAGTGTGTATCAGCCATTTATAAACCAGAGTCAGAAGAGAAGGTGCATCTGTCTTCAGTAACTCTGACATAATAGCACAAAACACCTGGTAGCTGAATACTAAGACTGCTGGAAGTTCAAGAATATTTATATTGAAGGTAATAAAATGCTGGTGTTTTCCCCAAATTCAATGAAAATCATAGCTGCCTCATCCAAAAGCAACTGATTAGTTTCTCAGTACTTTTTACATCCTTGCTGATGTGCTTGCATTTCCAGATCAAGAAAATTAAGCCAAGCTTCTTTGACTGGTTTCTAAGAAAACTCTCTGTTTTATACAACCTTCTATGGTACTCAGGAAGAAATGATGACTGATTCATTCCAAAGATATTCCCATACATACAACCAAGAATGTTTCAAGAAACTTCTACTGAATTCAAAGCATGTTTTGCTTTGAATTTTATGTGATTCATGACCTTTTTCTTGCTATTTGAATTTTCCTACTGAGTCTTTCCTCCCAGTTGTTTAATGATGTTCTGCGTTGACCTCCCACAGCTTCAAAGTAGCACCAGTAGAAAGCCCACAGATGCATGAGATAAATACATACCTAATGTGTTCAAAATAACAGTAATGAGCACATATGCTTCCAGGCAGAATGGCTGCAGAGCAAGTGTGGAAAATAGATTCTGCCTCCATGCTAATTTCAGTTAATTGATATTGGCTTCCATGTAGGATTTTATTATGACAGACTGTGGGGCCAGATTTTCCAAGGAAGATTTTAACCTAAAGAATAGAAACTAAGTAAGAAGCAACCTAGTATTTTATTTTTACTTATACCAGTGCTCAAGTTATTACATGCAGGCATCAGATAAAGCTGAATTGGGAAAACCCAATTTGGTACAAGTAATAAGTAGGCCCTGTTGCTTTCTCATATGCCTATCTTCATATAGGGGACCTCATTTTATTACATTTCACAGATGCTGCATTTTTTACAAATTGAAGGTTTGTGGACACCCTGAGTCAAGTAAATCTATCAGCAACATTTTTCTAACAGCATGTGCTCCCTTCAGGTCTCTGTGTCATATTTTGATAACTCTCTCAATATTTCAAACTTTTTCATTATCATCATATCTGTTACAATGATTTGTGATCAGTGATATCTGATGTTATTATTATCATTGTTTTAGGGCACCACAAACTGCCCAACATAAGATGGAAAACTTAATTGATAAATGTTGTGTGTGTTCTGACTGCTCCAGCAACTGGTCATTCCCCCACCTCTCTCTCTCTCTTCAGTCTTCCCTTTTTCCTGAGACAACAATATTGAAAGGAGGCCGGTTAATGACCCTACAATGGCCTCTAACTATTCAAATGAAAGGAAGACTCACATATCTCTCACTTTAAATCAAGAGCTAGAAATGATTAAGCTTAGTAAAAAAGGCATGTTGAGAGCCAAGATAGGCCTCTTTCACCAGTTAGCCAAGATACGAATGCAAAGAAAAAGTTCCTGAAGGAAACTAAAAGTACCACTGCAGTGAACACATGAATGACAAGAAAGCAAAACAGCCTTATTGCTGATATGAAGAAGGTTTGAGTGGTCTAGATAGAGCTACAACATTCTCTTAAGCCAAAACCTAATCCAGAGGAAGGTCCTAACTCTCTTCAATTCTGTGAAGGCTAGTAGAGGTGAGAAAGCTGCAGAAGAAAAGTTTGAGGCTAGCAGAGTTTGGCTCAGGAGGTTTAAAAAAGAAGCTATCTCCATAATATAAAAATGCAAGGTGAGGCAGGAATTGCTGATGTAGAAGCTTTAGCAAGTTATCCAGAAGATCTAGTTAATATTATTCATGAAGATGGCTACACTAAACAACAGGTTTTCAGTGTCGATAAAAACAGCCTTATATTCAAAGAAGATGCCATCTAGGACTTTCATAGCAAGAGAGAAGAAGTCAATGCCTGACTTCAAAGCTTGGTAGGGCAGGCTGACTCTTTTGATAGGGGGTAATGCAGCTGGTGACTTCAAGTTGAAGCCAGTGCTCATTGACCATTCTGAAAATCCAAAGGCCCTTAAAAAATATGCTAAACCTACTCTACCTATGCTCTATAAATGAAACAAAACTTGAATGGCAGCATATCTGTTTACAATGTGGTATACTGAATATATTAAGCCCACTGTTGAGACCTACTGCTCAAAAAGAAAAAAAAAAAAAAGATTCCTTTCAAAATATTAATGCACAGTGAAAATGCACCTAGTCACCCAAGATCCCTGATGGAGATGTACAAGATTAATGTTATTTTCATGTGTACTAACACAACAACCATTCTATAGCCCATGGATTAAGGAGTTTTTGACTTTCAAGTCTTATTTAAGAAATACATCTTGTAAGGCTATAAATGCCATAGATAGTGATTCAGCTGATGGATCTTGGCAAAGCAAACTGAAAACCTTCTGAAAAGAATTCATCATTCTACATGCCATTAAGAATGTTCATGAGGTGGAGAAACAAGGTGGCTGAAGAGAACCCTCCAACAATCATCCTCCCTGCAGGAACACCAAATTGAACAATTACCCACATAAGAAAGTACATTCATAAGAACCATAAATCAGGTGAGCAATCACAGTACCTGGTTTTGATATCATAGCAAGCAAAGAGGCACATAATAGGGTACAAAAGACAGTCCTGAATTATCTACACTGCCCCTTCCCACCCCACCCTTACCACCTGCAGCATCATGTGGCATGGAGAGAGAATCTGTGTGCTTGGGGAAGGATAGCAAAGTGATTGTGGTACTTTGCACTGGAACTCAGTGCTGCTCTGTGATAGTGGATAGAACACAAGGCAGAATTCAGCCAGCACATGTGGAGGCAGTATTTAGACCAGCCCTAGCCAAAAGGGAATCATCCATCCCTAAATTCAGAACTCGAGTTCCGGTTAGCCCCACCACTGGGGGCTAAAGGGCTCTGGAGTCCTAAATAAATTTGAAAGGCAGTCTAGACAACAAGGACTGCAATTCCTGGGTAAGGTCTGGTGCTGTGGAAGGCTGTGCTAGGGCCAATGGACCTGGAGTGCTCACAACCCAGTGAGACACCAGCTGGGGCCACCAATAAGTGCTTGCATCACCCTTTCTCCAACTGCAGAGAGTACAGCTTGTAACTTGTGGAGAGACTCCTTCTGCTTAAGAAAAGGAAATGGAAAAGTAAAAAGGATTTTGTCTTGCAACTTGGGTACCAGCTCAGCCACAATAAAATAAAGCACCAAGCAGACTCATAAAATCCATGATTCCAAGCCTAAGCTTTCAGATGGCAGTCCTAGACCCACCCTGGGCTGGAAGAGAACCCACTTCCCAGAAAGGAAAGATCCAGGCCTGGCGAGATTCACTATCTGCTGTCTAAGGAGGCCTTGAGCCTTGAATAAACAACAGCAGTAGCCAGGCAATAGTCACCACAGGCCTTAAGCAAGACCCAGTACTATGCTGGCTTCAATAGTGATCCAGCACATTCCCAGTGATGGCTGTCACACGAGTGCTTGTGTCACCCTTCCCCCAATTCCAGGCAGCTCAACACACACACAGAGAGAGAGACTTTATTTGTTTGGTGGAAAGTAAGGAAAGAGGAGAAGAGACTCTGTCTGGTAATTCAAGGAATTCACCTGGATCTTAGTAGGATCAACAATGCATTACACCTATGAGTCTGCAAGAGTCACAGTGTTACTAGGCTTGAGGAACCCCAATGCAAATATGGCTGCAGTGACCAAAGTTTTAAGACTTAGATCACAACACTCACTTCCCTTTGAATACTTGGAAAGCCTTCTCAAGAAGGATGGGTACAAACAAGCCCGAACTGTGAAGATGAAAATAAATACTTAACTCGTCAATGCCCAGACATTAATGAAAATCCATAAGAATCAAGATCAGCTAGGAAAACATGACTTCACCAATTGTACCAAATAAGGAACTAGTGACCAATCCTTGACTGACAGACATATGTGAACTATCAGACAGAGGATTCAAAGCAGTGGTTTCAAGGAAGCTTCAAGAAAATTAAAGATAACACAGCGAAGTAATGCAGAACTCTATCAAATAAATTTTAAGAAGAGATTGAAATAATTTTTAAAAATCAAGCAGAAATTCTGGAGTTGAAAAATTCACTTGGCCAATTGAAGAATGCATCAGAGTCTCATTATAGTAGAGATGATCAAGCAAAATAAAGAATTATTGTTTGAAGAAGACTCTTTGAAAACACACAGTCAGTGGAGATAAAAGAAAAAAGAATTGAAAAGAATAAAGTGTACCTATAAGATTCAGAAAGCTGCCTCAAAAGAGCAAATCTAAGAGCAATTGGCCTCAAAGAGGAGGTAGAGGGAGAGGTTAAAGTAGAAAGATTATTCAGAGATAATCATAGAGAACTTTCCAAAACTAGAGAAATATATCAATATTCAAATACAAGAAGGTTATAGAACACCAGACAGATTAAGCCCAAATAAGACATTTAATAATCAAACTCCCAAAGGCCAAGGATAATGACAGTAACCTAAAAACAGCAAGAAAAAAGAAAAAAATAACATATAAAGGAGCTTCAATACATGTGGCAGCTGACTTCTCAGTGAAAACCTTTCAGGCCAAGAAAGAGGGTCATTATGTATTTGAAGTGCTGG